CATATCCAATCTCAAGGAGAATCAGGCCTCAGCTGTTGAACTTTTTGTAAATGCAAACAAGCAAAAATACTTTTTCCAGAACAGCAGAGCATAAGTGGTCAATGCATTGCATTCATCCTTTTGGCCTCTGGGACTATTCTGTCTATTCCCATCCCGTACCAGTATTAGCCAGAATATCTCATAACATAATTTTTTTGAAGAGCTAGATCCTTTCATTGTTCTTTGCTGACTACAGAGGACATAGTTTTGAGGTCGGATGAATATGAACAAGGAACACACATGGCACCCAGACACCTATTCCAGGGACCTATTCATCATCGAAGCTTAGGCTGACTCTGAATATGTCTCTCTAATAGAATAACCAGATGTTATTCTTGAGCAGTGTCTTAATAATGGGGTCAAAAATTTCCATTCCTTGAGGCACTTAAATACAATAGTGATCTCTGCTAGGCATACTGCATATAGTGCAGGAAACAGCAAATAGAAATTGATTCATATATTTCCGGATTCTTCAGATTCCTTCAGCAAGGACTGGAAAGTAGGTTGGTGTCCAATGTATTATGGAGATAAATTATGCTGAGCAGGTGTTTATTCAAATCTTTCCAGTTTCTGCTTTTGTTGAATAATTTGATGATCTAGAATTCTTAATATATAATGTAGCAAAGCATGTATAATCTCTTGTGACAATAAAAGAATTCTGATTGGAAATGTAGAAATTTCTTTGTTCTATTCTTGCCTCCCCACAAGAATGAGAAAAGCCCATAATCAATTTAGTACCATGTTTCCCCGAAAATACGACATGTCCTGAAAATAAGGCCAAGCCTGATTTTTGGGGTGGGCATAAAATATACGCCCGCCCCTGAAAATAAGCCCTAGTGAAGGGGTGGGCATGGCCAGCATAGGTGACTTCCCTAGTCACCTCCTAGAGGTTCAGCCCCATAATTATTGCCTGCTGATCAGCTGAGCCAGTGAGGGCTGTGCAACTCGGCCCAGATCTCCAGAGCACCTCCCCAGCTGCTGGCCGCCTTCCCCTATTCCTGCCGATCATTCTTTACTTGGGATTGCAGCACAGACACTCATCCCCAAAATGCTCCATCTGAAGCCTTCAACCTTGCAATCTTGGCAGGGGTGTCTGTGCTGCGATCCCAAGTAAAGAACGATTGGCAGGGAAAGGGGGGGGGTTTCCTGCAGCCTGTCCTTTCTTGGGATCACAGCACAGACACCCCTGCCAGGATTGCAAGGCTGAAGGCTTCAGATGGAGCATTTGGGGGATGTGTGTCTGTGCTGCGATCCCAAAGAAAGGATAGGCTGCAGGGGAAAAAAAAAACCCTTTTTTCCCTGCTAATCGTTCTTTACTTCGGATCACAACACAGACACACATCCCCAAAATGCTCCATCCGAAGCCTTCAGCCTTGCAATCCTGGAAGGGGCATCTGTGCTGCGATCCCAAACAAAGAACAGTGTGTGTGTGTGTGTGTGTGTGTGTGTGTGTGTGTGTGTGAGAGAGAGAGAGAGAGAGAGAGAGAGAGAGAGAGAGAGAGAGAGAGATCCAATCCAACCTCTGTTATCCAGGGTTGACAGCAATATTCTCTCCATCCTCGTCCCCCTCACACACACTTAGGGGTCCCTCACCCCACCCCAAACCTTCCAAGGCAGCCACATCCCTTCACTAACCTGCTTTCCAGCTCCGTTCTCCACCATCACATGCAGGGCAAGAAAAGTAGTCTGTGAGACTACAGTAAAAACACCTTCCAACTTCGTGAGTTTTTTTTCTTCATGAGAACTTGGAAGGTCTGAACTACTGGTATTTATTTATTTTTTACCCTCGTCCAACAGACTACTTTTCTTGTCCTGAACGCTCAGCAGAGAATGGAGCTGGAAAGCAGGTTAGTGAAGAGATGTGGCTGCCCTGCGGGGGAGGGGGAGGGTTTATCATGGGTGGCCTGGCTGAAGGGCCTTCAGGTAAGCCAATGCAGGGCCTTGGGGCAGCTCCGCAGCCCCTGCCTTGCTTTGTCCACCACCACCACCCTCACCGCCTTGCTTCGTTCTTCGTTGCAACATGCAGCCTCTCACAGTAAGGAGAATTGCAGGCAATACTTGTTACTGTGAGAGGCTGCAGGGGAGGCTTGGTCCTCTTACCCAGTTCCCCTCTACCGTTCCTCTTTTTTTCTCTCTGTCACTCACACACACACACACACACACACAGATATTTGATCTCTTGAACTGCTGCACCCTTTTTGCCCAGAGGGAGACAAAGCAGGTGAAAAGTGTTTGAGCACCTGATAGGCACTGGCCTGCATTGTCAAATGTTTGGGCTGCTAAGCACCAGCCGGTACTCCTATTTGGTGTTGCAGGAGCCAGGGTACAGCTACGCCAAGCCAGGCGCTTTTTGGGCCCTGGCCCCGGTGGCCACTGCAATTCTTGTGCCAGCTCTGCACACAGCTGGCCTGACAGCTGCAGCACCCACCAGACCCAGGATTGTAACCTGGCACCTGCAGCATCAAGTAGACGTGCAGGTTGGCGCTCAGTAGCCCAAAGGAGATGTCTTCCTGCTGGAGTTCCGTGTCCAGCCAGGGAGCAGTTCCCAGGACTGCCCGATTCTCAACCAGCTGGCTGCATGGTAGGAGGGGGCTTCCTGCCCACCTGAAAGAGAGGCTGGGTTTGTAAAGAGGCTTCCCCCCCCACCCAAGACCCTCAAGCACCAGGCTGTGGGCTCTACCGCAGGGAGCCTGAATCGGGGCCAAGCTCTTGGCAACTGACTGAGGTAAGACTGTTCTTGAAGGGGGCGCGAGACCCGTGGGCCTCCTGCTGCTTTTGCAGCTGATTGAGGCTACAAAAGCAGCCGTGATTCTTGCTGCCTCTTCCCCCCCCCTCACCCGACATGGCAGGGCTTCCTGCCCCTTGCTTCTCACTCTCCCAACCCTTCCCCATCTGCCACCCCCAAATTGTGCCCCAAAATAATAAGACCCCCCCAAAAATAAGGGCTTGGCCTTATTTTGGGGGGGGGTCTTATTATTTGAACCCCAAGCCCTTCTTTTGGGGTTCAAAAAAATATAAGACAGGGTTTTATTTTCGGGGAAACATGCTAGCATCAACTTACTAGTATCTTTTTTTCTCTTCTCTCTCTCTCCCTCTCTCTCTCCCTCTCTTTCTCTCTCTCTCTCTCTCTCTCTCGCATTTTCTTTCAACTGGTATTAAAATACTGCTTATTGCCTCTGACTGATGATGTAATAATACCAGAGCTAATAATCATTATCTTATGTTAAAAAGTCTCTGGTAGAAAAATATTGGAGGATATTTGATGGATAGGTTATCAGTGAGCGCAGAGTTTGAAACAGTCTGAATTAGGAGTTCCTGAATTATTTCCACAGATGGTTAACATTAATGTTCTTTGGATTTAAAATCTGCATCTTGCTCATGGGCTTATTAAACACTTGCCTCCACATTTCTTTTTGTAGAAGAAATAGTGGAGCGTGTTGAAGGCCTACTACTACTGATTCTAATTGAGATGCTGTGGGTGGAGGCATTAGCAATGCTCCTTTTGTTCTACTCTCTCATGAAGAAAGAGGTAATAATGGGTGTTCCCACTTGGCCTCATTTTTATTCTTTACAAAACATCAACAAGCAATTTAAATTTCTGAAGACAGTCCTTTTCTAATTTTTTTCTTAAATTTTTTCTCAGATATAAAAAGTAACATAAGATAATAAAAAGTGAAATTAGAGAAAGGGGGAAAAAAGAAAATAGGAAATGTATAAAAGAGAAATTATAATTAGAAATAAGAAAAATCTCTAAAATCGTTCCCGATCTGTTTTACAGCAATTACATGCAAACAAATCTTCACACCTCCCTCTTTAAAATTACATCATGTTTCCCTTCTTCCCATATGCAACTCTTTTTAATTGGCAAATCCAAAAATCATCAATTCATTTTTCCTTTTTCAGCAAAGACTTAATAAGAGATCTTCAGTCTTTAATAAAGTACTTGTCTTAAAAATTTTAAACAGAAACCTTATGCTAGGATCTTGATCCATCTGAAATTTTAGACTGCTATGGTAGGAATGGCTCAAACTCTTGGTCATCCAGTATACCCCTAGAAATTATACTTAACGGAGCCTCCTGACTTTTTGCAGGGCACTAAAAACTTGACTTTGCTATTGAGCCTGGGGTGTGTGTGAGAGCTGAGCCCATGTCATGGCTTGCTTGAGTGTTGGTGAGTCTTTTGGGCTGCTATTTTATGTCCTTTGTTTTTAATCCTGGTTATTTTTTATTCTGTTTTAATTGTGAGACACCCAGAATCATGTATGGAAGATGGGTGGATGAAAGAATGAATGAATATTGACCCACAATTTGTTGTTCTTTTCTATATTTTTTGAGCCATAGTCATGATGGAAAGAGAACGTTTGATTTTGGATAAAATCTTGAATTTACATATATTGTTTCTTTTTAAGTAGAATTACAACTTTAATCAGCTTTTATACTAATTGTAGAACCGGTTTGTTGGCAGATGTATTAGCATTAGATGTATTTAAGACCTTTGATTGTGTGGAATGGCCTACATTGAAGATATTAATAGAGAAGTTAGGTTTTGGAAAAAAATTTAGAAAACTGATAAATCAACTATATTCAGAGATTAAAGCGAGAATAGTTATAAATGATGGTGTTACAGCGACAATAACCTTAAGCCAGTGAACGAGTCAGAGTTGCCCTTTATCCCCAATAATCTCCATTATTGATGGAGGTTTTGGCAAATGCAGTTAGACAAGATTCATTGATTGGAGGAATTGGTGTACAGAAGAAAACTAAAATAAATTTATTTGCAGATGATACATATTAACATTTCAAAATCCCATAGTTATTATAGAGAGGATATATTTACACCTGGGAAATTTGGGAAATATAGTGGATTACAAATAAACTGGGAAAAACCAGAAATGATGTTATATAAACATAGTAAAGAAGAAGAGCCTTGGTAGTACAGGGGTTTAAGGCACCCTGTTATTAAGCTGGTTATTAAGACCAGCTGCCTGCAATTACTGCAGGGTTCGAATCTCGCCAAGGCTCAAGGTTGACTCAGCCTTCCATTCTTTCTAAGGTAGGTAAATTGAGGACCCAGTTGTGGGGGCAATAAGCTGACTTTGTATAAATATACAAAAGAATGAAGGCTATTGCTGAGCACATTGTAAGCCGCCCTGAGTCTTCGGAGAAGGGCGGCATATAAATCAAATTTAAAAAAAAAAAAAAAAGTGAATGTATTGAAAGGAAAATATAAATTAAAAATAGTAGATAGTATTAAATATTTAGGTTTTGACATCCCCAAAAATATTCAAGAGTTAAAGAAAATAAATTATGAAAAGTTAAAGAAAGATATAAAAAATAAAATAGATAAATATGAGAAAATAAAATTATCATAGTTTGGAAGAATTGCAATGATAAAAATGAAAGTTTTACCAAAATTTATTTTTTTGTTTTGGATGATCTTAATTAAATTTTCAGATCAAGAATTAAAGCAAATACAAAGGTTGCTGGAGGTGTATTGTAAAGGAGGTAAGAGAGCAAGAATAAGTAAAGCATTATGGTATGATCCATTAAAAAAGGGTGGGCTGGGTCTTCCAAATGTTAGAAATTATTGAGTAGCTAATCAATTAAAGGTGGTCCCATATCTGATATGATATGATATGATATGATATGATATGATATGATATGATATGATATGATATGATATTACAGAACAGAACAGAATTCTTTATTGATCAAGTGTGATTGGACACACAAGGAATTTGTCTTTGATGCATATGCTCTCAGTGTACATAAAGAAAAATAAAACACATTCATCAAGAATCATAAGATACAACACTTAGTGATAGTCATAGGATACTAATAATCAAATTGTACTAGGAAACAAATAAAACAATATAAATTGTAAAGATACAAGTAACATGGTTATAGTCGTAAGTGGGAAGAGATAGGTACTAGGAAGGATGAGAAGAATAATAGTAATACAGTCTTAGTAAATAATTTGATAGTGTTGTGGGAATTAGTTGTTAAGCAGAGTGATGGCATTCAGGAAAAAAGTGTCCTTGTGTCTAGTTGTTCTGGTGTGCAGTGCCATATAGCGTCGTTTTGAGATTAGAAGTTGAAACAATTTATGTCCAGGATATGAGGGGTCTGTAAATATTTTCACAGCCTTTTTTGTAACTCGTGCAGTATAAAGGTCCTCAATAGAAGGCAGGTTGGTAGCAATTGTTTTTTCTGCTGTTCTAATTATCTGTTGAAGTCTGTGTCTATCTTGTTTGATTGCAGAGCCAAACCAGACAGTTATAGAGGTGCAGGTGACAGACTCAATAATTTCTCTGTAGAACTGAATCATCAGCTCCTTGGGCAGTTTGAGCTTTCTGAGTTGGCGCAGAAAGAACATTCTTTGTTGTTCTTTTTTGATGACATTTTTGATGTTAGGTGTCCATTTTAAGTATTGAGATATAATAGAAACTAGAAACTTAAAGGTCTCTACTGTTGATACTGTATTGTTTAGTATTGTAAGAGGTAGTAGTATAGAAGGGTTTCTCCTAAAGTCTACCACTATTTCTACAGTTTTGAGTGTATTTAGTTCAAGATTGTTCTGATTGCGCCACAAGGCTAGTTGTTCAACCTCCCTTCTGTATTCATCGTTGTCTCCAGTGAAACCAATCACTGTTGTATCATCTGCAAACTTAAGTACTTTAACAGAGGGATCTTTTGAGATGCAGTCATTGAGCATACAAGTGGAACAAATAAATTAATAAATAAATTGATGTATAGAGAGAAGAGTAGTGGAAAGAGCACACAGATCTGGGGGGCTCTTGTGCTAATTGTACAGGTATCAGATGTGATTTTGCCTAGCTTCACCTGCTGCTTCCTGTCTGTTAGGAAGCTTATTATAGCATTAACTAGAGATTTAATATGGAGGGATATAGAGTTGAAAGGATTAAGGGAAATAGGTGATCCTAAAGAAACATTGGTTTAAAAAGGATATTAAAAAATTGCTGGAGGATTCAAAATCCCTTTTTAAAAATTTGATAGAATTATGGAATAAATGGAGATACCGCTTAATGTCAGGAATTTCTCCTTTAACACCAGTGGCGTAAATGGAAATTCCCTAAGAGTGAATTGAAAGAATGGATTAGTAAACTAAAAGAAAATCAGATATATAAATGGGAATACTGGAAGAACAAGATAAAGAATATAACCCAACTAAAGAACATTTTATCAAATATTAAATTAAATTGTTGAATTTAATACAATTAGAGAAATGGATAAAAGTGGAAGAAAGATTCGAGGAGAAAGATAGACAGTTAACAAAATTTGAAATGATTATAAAAGAATGTGAGGTGAATGAAGAATATATAGGTAAAGGAAGAATTGGGAAAATATATAGAATATTAACTGAATTAGAAGAGCAGGCAAAAAGTTTAAAATTAATTTAGGAATCAGATTTAGGAGAAATAAATGATAATGATTGGAAAAATATTTGGAATAGGAGAGTATATATGTCAAGAGTTAAGGAAAATGGATATAAAGTGATATGGAAGTGGTACCTAACGCCATGTAAATTAAATCAAATAGATGATAAATATACAAATATTTGTTGGAGGTGCAAGAAAGAGGTTGGAACATATAAACATATGTGGTGGGATTGTGATGGTGGAATGTAAATTTAAATATGTCACCAAGGATTGCATTACTGTTGCTGGTGGAAAAACAGGATATAAATGACACAAAAAAGGAATTGATTGTAAATTTGATAATGGCAGCTAGATTAGTGATGGCTAAATATTGGGGACGAAATTGGGATATTTAAAGAAATGAGTGGTATAATGAAATTTGGAGTATGGCAACAAATGATAAATTAATAACAGAAATTAAATTTAAAAAAGGGATGATAAAAGCAAACAATTATAATGAAATATGGGGGAATTTTATAAAAACAGTGTTAGTGGAAGGCAAAGGGAATAAACGTACTCAAGAATATATGTTGTTTTGGAGGGGATAAGGGCACAATTGGAATATATAGTATACCGGCATCTTTTAATTGTTATAGAAGAAGAAATATAAGAGAAAAAATAGTCTGGGGATGGGTGTGTGTGCACTGTAATATTTGTATTTTTTTCCCTTTTTTATATTTACATTTATATATACTATGTTTGCATTATTTGTATTTAAGATTAAAAATTATTTTAAAAAAAAGAACCGATTTAGTTTTACAGATAGAGGATATAGACTTGTTAAGAATCAGACAATGTCTTTAGTTTTAATAGGAAAGGTTTTGGTGAATCCTGGTTTTATGTATCCCCTCAAATTAAGATGAATTGATTAAACTATTAATGTAACTCTAATTAAGAACAATGGAAGTTTATAGGAGGAGATCATGTTAGCCTGTATTACTAAATCATGATGTAACATAACCTGAAGCATAACTAATGGATTAGTTTATATATTAGGCCAAATATTGCCACATATTACTTGTTTGGTTATGTGAAATCATACTATTGAATTCATACATCATGCCAAATCACAGTATAATTCTGAGAATCCAGTGTAAAGGAGTTGTAAAATAGCTTATCAATTAGCATACACTGCATTAACATACTAGCTAATCAGTGTCTCCTGATTTTCACAAACTTTCTAGTTAATGTCTAGAAGGCAAATCCTACTATTATAAGGCAAATCCACATCTATTCTTGGATTCACATCTGTGTAGTGTCATTAATATTATATAGAACTGGTAGAGAGGCTCTGTCTATTGGGATGGTAGCCTTGGTATATTTGTCAGAACATAAAGAGTTTAATGTCCTTTTTGTGCCAAAATATTTTATTCTTAAAACTTGCAATTTAACTTTTAGCATGCCTTTTTGCTGTTTGTAATTTACACTTGCATTATCTGCTGCTCGGTGTGATTTTTATTTTTTTATTTTGCCTTAAATAGTTAGCGCTGCTTTATGGCATTTTTCTAAAATATAGTTTAGAATATTTTTTGTGTTTGTTTAAGTGGATAATATTTTTATGTGTGACAGTTTCTATGTGTCTCCTATAATATATTTCTTATTTTCCAAAATGTTAGTTCCTTTATGTACATCATTCAGCAAGCACATTCTGCTTCTTTAAATCCCCATTTATGTAAAAGAAATAAGAAAACTTCAGCGGAACTGACAACTCAAAAGACCACCTCTTCTCTTCCTCCTTTTTGTTTCTGTAATTTATATTTCAGATATTTGCATATCCTTAAAAAAGGTATATAAATATAGCCTGGAATTCTGTCTTTTAAAGAATATTATATAGTAGAGATACTTCTCCTGAAACTTAGGAGCAGGGACATAACAACTTTTGTACACTATGCTTTTCAATCTGGCTTTGATATTAATTAGTTTAGTTCTCAAATTCCCTCTTTTGGTGGTTATTATCAAAGCTATAGATAACATTAGGATTTTTATAAAAGATAGTGAAAATGGATATGTTGTTAGTAACTATTTCAGTTGGGGTCATAAACTTGAGTTGTTTGTGCTGGTTATACACTTTGTCAATACAGCTTGAAATCCTGGCAAGATTAGCATTAAAAATAACTTTGTCTTTTTGAATAGTTAGACCTATATATGCGATGTCATGCACATTAATCCAATTTCTGTAAATCACAGGCCATCAAGAGTTTTCAATCTATTTTACATTTTTTCCTTCTTATCATTTATATTATATGTCCTATTATATCCTGTTTAATTTGTTTAAGACTTAGTCCCCTGGCCATCCTCTACCAAATACTTTATGCATTATCAAACCATTTTTAGGGGGAGGTAGCTATTCCTACATATGTTATCAATGGTTGTTACTTAGCAATAATGGTAGTGCTGCAGACTTCTATTTATGGATTGTGTATTTCACTTTGCTACTATTTGTTAACAGCATAAATAGAATTGTAGATTAGATTGTTAGTAGTTTTTTAAGCAATAGAAAATAAAACTTCTCTTTTTAAAGGCATTTTTATTATCACAAAAAAATCCAAACAGCTTAAGACAAGTTCAGACAAGCAAGATATGTGAAAGAATTTTGAAGGCTGAGCTATTGCAGGTGTAAACAGGATGGTGAGTTTGGTGCTAATATTTTATAAGGAAGACCATAAGAATTTAAAAGAGGAGCCTTGGTAGTACAGTGGCTTAATGCACCCTGTTATTAACACAGCTGCCTGCAATTTCTGCAGGTTCGAATCTTACCAGGCTCAAGGTTGACTCAGCCTTCCATCCTTTCTAAGGTAGGTTAAATGAGGAACCAGTTTGTGGGGGCAATAAGCTGACTTTGTATAAATATACAAAAGTATGAAGGCTATTGCTTAACGCATTGTAAGCCGCCCTGAGTCTCCAGAGAAGGGCGGCATATAAATCAAATTAAAAAAAAAAAAAGGCAATACTATTATAGTTCAGGTTAGAATAGTGAGTGGTATTTTTAAGTTTTAAGTTAAACCATTTTTCTTTATTGTTTTTGTTTCTGTGAAAATTAGTAGATGACTTAATACAAAATTATGTATCACCTTTCAGCATTGTTTGGAAAGGTTAATTTCATTCATATTGAATTAACATCTCTAAGGCTTCCTAGAAAAAAGAAGGATTGCCTAATACCTCCATATATATATAGCTCTGAGCTCCTTAGAAGCAAGATTGAGCAAATGTAAGATAGCAGAAGGAATAGAAATATTATCTATTCATCTCTTGCCTCTTTGATATTTCAGAATTGGCCAGATGCTGTTATATTTACCTTTTAAAAATAGGCTTGAGGACACTATGTTTTAGAATGCATAACATATGTGGAAATGAATATTTACAAGCCCTTAGGTTCTGTAATGTCTAGGATACCTTTAATTTGGTGTTCTGCAGAGAGTGTTTCTTTACTCTTCTTCCCCCTTTCTTGTATACAGGGGATTATGCAACTGATCCTTTGAGTGTAGTTTCTTAAAACAATAGTCTGGTATTCTTTAACGCTGTGTTATATACAGTAATTTAGAGTTCTTGCCTTGATCTTGGCTGGGGAAGAAGTAATGATGTATATTTGCATGTGAATTCAGATGACCAGATCAATTTATATGGTAGGCTAATACTTTAAAGCTTACTTGTTAAATAATCTTTCATAGAAAAGATGGAAATTCAAAAAGTCTATATTAAACTGAAATGTGAGTTTTGCAAATCTTGCATTTTGTCTGTGGATTGATTTTTTTTTTCTTTTAAAAGCACCCACACAGTAATGTTGCCTGCCTGGTTTTCCTCATCACATATATCCTAAGTACATTATTAATTCCTTTATTTTAAACAAGTGCAGTGACCTACAGCAAAGATTAAAGAGGAACATTTTCCTTCTCTTCTCTTCTTCACTCCATTGTGGCACTTTTAATATCATATCATTCTGAAGGATTCCTCAGATATATTTTTTTCAAGAGTCCTTCGTAGAAAGGAAGTACATTGTTTTTTTTGTTTTTCTAACCTTAAATTGACATCCATAATTTACACAATTGTTAGCTTTTTCGTTTGGTTTACAGAGCAGTAATGATAGCACTGCAGACATCAATATATGGATAATATATTCCATTTTGCTAGTGTTTGCTAACAACATAAATAGAACTGTAGACTAAATTGTTAGTAGAGACTCTGAGGCAATGGAAATTTAAATTTCTTTTCATAAGGACATTTTTATAATCAGGAAAAAAACATCCAAATAACTTAAGTGCTATTTCAGACATGTTCTGGTACTGATTGATACTTTCCTAAATACTATTTTAAAGATAGTTTTAAAATTCATTTGATGCTTTCTATTCTGTTGATACACTGCTTGATTCTCTAATAATTCATTGTATGTATTTAAGTTTCTTACAGATAAAAATTTCTTTTGTAAATTACTGTAAATTGTTAATGAGCATTGAATGGAGTTTAAAAATTAATAGGCAGCAATAAAACCAATTTGCAGAATTGTTCTAAAAACTTACTTTAAAATAGATTTGTAGCATTAAATGTCCTTCTATTTGTGATTCTTGTTTCTTTATTTAAGGCTGTACTTCAGTTACCAACTCCCAAAAAATCTTGATTATCTCATGAGGTCCATCTCCCCCAATATTCAGTAATCGGAAAACCATTAAAAATGGATAATCAAATTTGTAAATTATATTCGACCCAGTTTTGTCTGATTTTTAGTTTAGTTGGAGACCAAGGCTGTTTTGATGGGCAATTTAAGCTGGAGTGAAAACTGAAAATAAGCACTAAATCCTTGTTCAGTTAGATTTTTCTAATAGCTTTTGGTACTATCAATCATACTATTCTTTCAGGTGCCTGGCTAGGTTTGGATTTTGGGGATTAGGGTCAGAAAGAGGCTAGCTTGAGGGCAGGAAATGAAATTGTACTCTTATACTGGCCACAGAGAATTATTGCTTTATTCCATTCTAATAAGTATATGAAGTCAGTGAGGAAAGTTATCCCACAAAGTGCAGTCATTGGTTTGAGTGCAAAGAAAACAAAACTCAGTTACAGATAGTCCTCCAAATATGACCAGGATGGAGTATCTTCATAATTGTTACATGCCATAATAGCCGTTAAGTGAAGTATCTCATTTAACGGTTCCCCCATCCCAGCTCTCTGCAACATAATTGTGAAACAAACATGCAAAATGAAACAAACAAAATATTAAAAAGTTATGATGTTTATGTAGTTACTTACCAAGTACATCTAAATTATATTAAAGTAACTAAAATATCTTTAAAAACCCCAAAGTATGTCACAACTTTTGAGCACCCCTAATATTTGGAAATTAAAAATTGAAAAATTTGACACAACCTCAGTAGATTGTTAAGTGCAGCACAGAATTCCTCAGTGATGATTTTGCTGCTTTACGAGGTTGCACAACGCTGCAGGAAGTTGCAGAAAGCTTGTGCAGCACTGTGCAAATTCTTTTAAGGCAGCAAAATGGGGCAGTTTGTCCATGGGCTGCAGAGTGCGATTCTGGAATCGTGCCACACAGCCAAGCAACAAAGCAGCCCATTCCAGTGCTATGGAAGAGTTCAAAGCTCTTCCAAAGGTAAGTGAGGAGGATGTTAAGGCCTGGTGGGGTGGGAAAATGGTTTAAGACGACAGGGAACTATTGGGGAAAGAAAAGGCTTGTAGGGACCTGATATTGGGGGGACGGGCAGATAGTTATGGCATTGCAGTGGCCATAATTTGAGAGCCAGGTCATAGATAGCTTTTGGTGGGAGGAGTCGACCATAACTTCAAATGACTGTTAAGTGACAGATTGTAAGTCGAGGACTATTGGTATATATAAAAAGGCAGTAGAAACCTTTGAGCCTTGGAGCAAAAAAAAAAAAAAAAGACAAAATTTAATTAAGATACAAATTGCTTTAATTTCTAGGAATGGGTTTTCAGCCTTTTTAAGGACATGATACCACTGTTTTCAAAATATTTTTGGATGTGAATTTCTTACTTGGATGGTCAAATTGCAGTTATAACATTTATACAAATTAACTTAATAGGTTTTTATCTTTCACAGACAAGGAAGGTCTGGCTACTGTTGAATATAATTTGTTCACACTCAGATTAGCATATTACAATTTCTACATAGACACTGTCTTTGAAATATATTTGCATCTACTGCTAGAAGAGAATGCTGCTCCTATGGTAATAATGCTAGCACAATATTTGATCAGATACTGCTGAATTCCAAAGATTGGTTACTACTTTCAGAGTCTGAAATGGTTTCATGTAAAAATACTCTAAATAGGTTTTCCCATCAAATGGGATAAGAGAAATTACATTCTAAAGTAAAGCTAAGTTGGTATATATATTGGACAAAGCTGCTGCCTTAGTTGTGGTAAATAGCTCTGAAATCTATCTAGATGTTTATTCCCTCCTAGAGGTAAAACAGAAATGTATTCCCTTGCTTGGGTTGCCATTGCTCAATGTCACCTCTGTCTTATTTTTAATTGCTGCCCATTTTATTCTCTATTAGTCTTAATTTTTTTTTTACATTCTATTACTACATTGAAACCTCGTAGCTCTTGTGCCTGTTCTGGGAAGTCTAGGGAGGTGGGGGGGGAGAAAATGTTTGTATTTCTTATAAAACTTTTCAATAAAAAAAAAAAAAGAAACCTTGTAGCTCTTGACCAAAAATGGCATGAATGTTTTAATACAAATAAATAATATTAGAATAATTTATTTCAGAATAGTTTGTATAGCCTGTAACCATGACTCCTAATAGTTTATATTTTGAATGGTAAAGAACAATACTGATAATTAGAGAATGGGATAAAGGGTATACAAAGACCAAAATAAATGTGTTGTAGTTCAGTTTACATTCCTTAATTTTTTGTAATATTCAATATCAGAAACTTTAAGTTATTTTTTTGAAGGCTGTTAACTAGAATTATAGTAATAGATCCATTTAGAATAGTTATTTATTTCTTTTGCCATGAGCTGTTTTCTGGATTTAAAAAATATCTACCATTATACCTACCATTATTTGACATAGTTGGAGAAAGGATGTTGACAAGCAGGATGAGAATAGTTACTCACGCCCTCTGTACCACTTGCCCAATATTCAACTACTTATTTCTGGGCCATTTTAAAATGTAGACCTGCAAAACAGTGGATGATTGAATTTTATTCATATTACTGGATCCTTTGGTCAATTTCTTGAAGCAGTGAATATATTTTAGAGCTGAATTACTACAGGTTTAAGTGAGGGCTCTCAGAAAAAGAACAATATAGTACACTAGCAGTTGGGGGAAAGTTCTTTTGTATTTTCTCATTAACTTACTAATTTTTAAGCCGCCCAGAGTTATTACCTTATTGGGGAGACAGGCAGCATATAAATTTCATACATACATACATACATACATACATACATACATACATACATACATACTCACTCTACGTAAAAGAGACTTAATTTTCCTCGAATGTGGTTCAGTGTTTCCTTCCAACAATTTAATGTTGTTTACTATGTGGATGAGATTATCAGAAGTTTGGGGAACTTTCCAAAAAAAGCTATTTCTTAGCACTTGTTACACTGCAAAACAGCCATCCCTGCCCCCCAACGAATTTAATCTGAAAAATTATGAGTGCCATGATTATTAAAACTCTTAGCATGAATGTTCAGTATCAGTTATATGCTGAATGCATCTTAAAAAATAAATTAGTGTTACTCCACATACACTATTTCCAGAAAAAGGGTGGCATGGGATGGGTGGAAATCCTAGCGTCAGTCTGATTTCTCCCCCTCCCCTATATCCCCTGCCCGCCTGTCTACTGCATAGGGCCTTTTTCTGCCCCTTGACAGTTTCTGCCTAACAAATGGTGTTTCTTTTTTACAGCATAATGATCCGGGACTTGTTGTGGTGATGGTAAACTTAGTGGTAATTTTTAATTTTCAGACTGAATTTACTTCTTTTTTGTCATCAGAGCACCAAATATGTTAGGCTTACTTTTCTCTGTTGTAGCCTTCATCTTTTCTGCTTGGTCTTTTTGTTTCCCTTTTTTTCCTTTCCATTTCTTCATGCACTCTTTTATGTCTGATCCTTGTTCATTAAGGGTTTAATGCTCAAAAGGGATGTTTGTGTTAGAACTGCCAAAAATTTGTGGAGATTCACTTCAAATACCAAATCTCTAATACTGTCCAAACTTGATCTTCCCCCACCTTTCCCAAGTACATACTGATTGTTAGTAGTTATTATGACAGTTCAGTAGATAATTGAAATTGAAAACATTGACTGCCTTAGGAAGCAAAAGTACTAATGTATTCTTCATATTATAAAGGAGTCTGTCATATTCATTTGGACAGAACAAATGTCACTCCTATAAACATGTAAAAATTAAAAGAAAAATATATAATTTAAAATACAGTATTATGAATGTGGTTCTTTTGCTCAAAACTGCAGTCATCGTTTTGTATTACAATTGGGCATAAATCCCCTTCGTCCTCTACCCTTCTTACTGAAAATGTGTATATATATATGTATATATATATATATATATATATATCTAAATAAAAATGGTACTTTAAAATGTTTTTTCACAGATGGCTAGTGTTTACAAATTTGATCACCCTACCCAGGTTTCTAAATTTGAGATACAGCAGAAATTGATAAATTTTTAGAAGAGTTGTTCAACCTGGAAAATGTTGAAATGTATTCCCAAATTAAATTTACATTGGGGATTGGTTTGCTTCTATTTTAATGGCACATCAAGGGCAAAACTTTATTTAAACCTCATGTTAAATATTGTGAGGAATTACAATTCCTGTTTTATAATTAAGAAATAGAAACAAAGCTAATAAGTCCTCTGACAGTAGTGAGACATGAACTCGGATTTCCCAAGTACAGTCTTGTCAGTTGGGCTACTCTAACTGTCAAAAAAATAACTATCAATTTTTTTAGAAATGCAAATACTCAAGTATTTGAAAATATTATCTGTTATGCCACATGTCCAGTTTCCTTATTTCAGCACAATTCAAGCTTGGACATCTTTTGGCCCAAGGGTATAATCTATGTGTTTTTGAATGAGAGGAATATTGTTAACACCAATCCCCCCCCCCCCAAGTTTGATAATGAGGGAAGTAAATATTTTGTTTTTTCACTCAAGGTATCCACCAGATAAGGTAAGTAATTCCTTTTTACCAGTGCCCTTACATCACAACTCACAGCGCATGTTGTGATGTAAAAATAAACACCCCAAAGGCTGTGATAGTCGAAGTGCTCGTCTGCCCCATTTTGCTTTGTTTGGCTGGTTATGAGTGAATTAAAATACATATGGAATCTTCAGCATAGTTTGATTAGTTCAAAGTCAGTTTTCTTCGCAACTAGTCCTTTTCACAGCTTATAAGGAAAGGATATGGTAGAATCCAAAGAGCCCATTTTGAATCTAGCAAGGTTTTAACAGCAAAGTTAATCTTCCAAAACTCTGAAATAATTGCATGTTAATTATGGGTGTTATGGACATTGGTAATCTGTGTCCTATGATCTGAGAGAATGCATTTTTCCCATTCCTCAATTTTTTTGATCTAATGTAAAAATCATTAATTTTAGTATTCACTTGCTCAAATATTTGGGCCAAAAGCTAGAAGCAACAAAGAGAAAACAAGGCTAGGTCTGGCAATCAAGATATATAGACTTATGATTGTAAGCTGTGAGAATGGCTTGTGTTTGGTTCTCTGTAGCTTTCTGGTCTCTGCACTCCAAAGGCAAGATCTCTAACCAACCCCAAACCAATGTGTACAAAGCGACTTACCAGAGGATAATCGTTCTGTCCTATTCACTCAACTGATAGGTCTGATTCCCTTGCAGGTAGAACAGATCCCATCCCTATCGTTGTCAAATATGATGTCATGGGCATGGGACGGATGGAAATGGAGGTAAGTGTTCCCTGCAACATAGTTTTGTATCAGGCAAGATTAAGTTCTGTACATATATTTTAAAATCATGAAACGTATCTAAATGTTTCTCAACTTATGTGTTTCTGGACTACAGTTTTCATCATCTAACCCTAATAATTATAATCCAACGCACATAGATGGCATCAGTGGGGAAGGATCTTTTGGTCAAGGAAATAATAGTGCTCCAATATAATATAAATGTAGAATAGACTTCAATTAGTGGTTTTAAAAAATGCTTTAAAAAAGTTTTTTTTAAAAAAAGCTCGGACGATCATAGCTGTGCCCCACAATCGTCTGAACTTTTTTTTTTTTTTACTTTTTTAAAGCATTTTTTTTACTACCTGTTTGCCCCCACCACTAGTAAAAAAATGCTTAAAATGTTTGTTTTTTTAAAAAAGTTCTGACGATCGCGCGTTACTTAGCTGATCGGAGGAACTTTTTTAAAATATTTTTTTACTACCGGTTCGGCGAACCAGTAGTATTTTTTACTACCGGTTTGGGCAAACTGGCCTGAACCGGTAACATTTCACCCCTGCTATCAAGGCACACTCAGAAGTAATATATGTAACTTAATGCCTGAAGAATGCAACAGGTTTTATTTATTAAATACACTGGAACAGTACTTTCTGTTTTTCAGATATGGAAACAGATATCCTAGTATAAGGTCAGAAAAGAGTCATTCTGATTTCCACACGAAGAATCTCTGTCTTTAGCTAACCATCAGAAATTTGGCACAGTCTGTAATAGATGCACATTTTAAAGAATCTACTAAATCATTTGTAACATAAATCACCTGAAAATTAGAGCTCCTATATCCATAGAAAATAGTAGAGCTTTTTAAATAGACTGCAAAACATTTGGAAGAACATTTCATGAAGGAAGAACCTCTGACTACTGCTCAAAAGATTGTGTTCTCTGTAAGGGTTGATGTCACCTATGCAAAGACTTCTTCATGGTATCTCAATGCAGGTACAACAGTTTGTTTAGTGACTGTTCAAAGTTACAACTGCACTGAAAAAAACTGACTTATGAACATTTTTCACACTTACAACCATTGCAGAATCCTCATGATGATGTGATAAAAATTCAGATGCTTAGCAGCTGGTTCATATATGTTATGGTTGCAAAGTCCGGGGGGTCATTGATCAATTTTTGGGACCTTCTGATAAGCAAAGTAAATGGAAAAGCCAGATTCACTTAACAATGCTGTAACTAACTTAATAGCAATGACTCACTTAACAGCTGTGGCAAGAAAGATTGTAAAATGGGGCTACAGTCACTTAACATGTCTCACTTAGCAACATAAATTTTGGGGTCATTTCTAGTCATGAATTGAGGACTACCTGCATGTTTGTATATGTGCAGAAAGCACCCCAAGAAACTCATGATGAGCTAGATAGTGTAGATATGCTGTTGAAATGGCTACAGAAGGTCTTTGAGAGGATGTGGAATTTTGACACTTAAACTCTTTGAATAATTTGTACAGCCTCTACTTTTTTTTAAATACAGAGACATGCTTACAAGAGGTTTATCAAATCACAATTTGTTCATAGAGAGCAAGATTGTTTTCTTAAAACCTAAGTTGATTCAAGTTGTTGGTAAACTTAAAAAAAGGTTGGGCAGAATACAATGATGATGGTGGCTTTGGAGTCTGCTCCTTCTGCCTATGCTTTCTGCTGTTGCACAGGCCTTGAAAATATATTTCAGTGTGAGAGAAAGGATTTTTTTCATGTAGTCATAGGAAAGAAAAATGAGACTATATTTTTAACTGGCAGTGAGTGGGTATGTACTTTGCACAATTTTTCTTTGGGGGGCAAATATTTCTACTTCAAAAAAAATGGGTCCTCTTTTTGGGATCCAAAATAGATTAGATTTTCTTGAAATAAAATGTCTCCTCTAAAGATTTTTAGCATGAGTACATTGCACTTTTTTATTTATCTTGCAGATGAAGTAGACTGTTTAAAATAATAAGATATGTTATTATTTATTAATATTTTCTGCTCACTGAGTTTAATGCCCAATGTGTATGACTACTTGATTTGTCTCTGCTTTGATAGCTTGATTATGCTGAAGATGCTACAGAAAGGAGGCGGGTCTTGGAAGTGGAGAAGGAAGATACTGAAGAACTCAGGCAAAAATACAAGGTACTTTCTGCTGAACTAATTAAAGAATCATGGAGAATTTTCCATTACATGGTAGTCTAACCTTCTCTAAAACATCTCAGTGTAGAATCATTTAATATCTGATTTTATAAGCAGGTTTGCCTAAGAAAGATTCTGTGACATGACAAGGTGCCTGCACCACCACCTAATGTAGGAATTGGCAAATTTGCAACATGGGATATATCATTTTAATTTAGTTTGGTTGATAACTTTGTGATACTATGAAAAAGATGGATATAATTTCTTGAAAGGGGTTGCCATAGTTTTTCATTTTTAGGTGTGTTAAGGTCTTATAGAAATCATTTACAAGTTTTGTTATTGATGTTTTCTTTCCCAAATAGTTTTAAATTGTACCTTTGGTAGTCTAATGCCAGATTTTGACAACATGATTTCTGGAAAAAAAATATAATGTTCTTTTATGTAGGAAGCAAAAGAGAAAGTAAGAAATCACATTGCATTGAAATCAAATTACTCTTTGTTTGTATACATCTTTTGGGACATTTTTTGCACTCTAGCGAATCTCAAGTGACATTCCTTTGAATCTTCTAAGAAGCAACTTATCTAGTTATTTTCCTCTCCATCCTCATCTGAACAAGTCTCACTGCTAATAAAAATCTACTGTATTTTCCTCTCTCCAAAATGCTTACTTTGTTGATGAGCTATTATAGGTTGTAAGTACTCTGAACTAGTATCAAATAATTTTTGTTATCTCAGCAGTGAGTTAAGTAGTCTGGTAACTGGGAATTACACTTAATATTTTTGTGTAAATAGTAATCTTCAGTGGGTGAGGTTAATGAAATGAAGTGAGAAGTCAAACTATACTTCTTAAGACCTACAAAACACCTTTTTTATAAATTCTTTCTTGAAACAATGAGAAGAGCCTTGGTAGTACAGTGGTCTAAGGCACCCTGTTATTAAGCTGGTTATTAAGACCAGCTGCCTGCAATTACTGCAGGTTCGAATCTCACCAAGGCTCAAGGTTGACTCAGCCTTCCATCCTTTCTAAGGTAGGTAAATTGAGGACCCAGTTGTGGGGGCAATAAGCTGACTTTGTATAAATATACAAAAGAATGAAGGCTATTGCTTAGCGCATTGTAAGCCGCCCTGAGTCTCTGGAGAAGGGCAGCATATAAATCAAATTAAAAAAAAAGTTGCTTCATCAGTTTTTTGTAATTGCAGCACTGAACTTTGAAAACATGGTAAAAATTATTCAAAAGTACAAAAATTACTGCAGAGCTGAGGCCCTGTATCAGGAGGCTAAATGACGTAATGAAAGCCTTTCATGGACATTTTTGTTTGATGCTAGTTTCTTCTGAGAGTTTAAGGCTTATTCCTTTTACTATTGCAGGATTACGTGGACAAAGAAAAGGCAATTGCCAAGGCACTTGAAGACCTTCGAGCCAATTTTTATTGTGAGCTATGTGATAAGCAGTATCAGAAACACCAGGAGTTTGACAACCACATAAATTCCTACGACCATGCTCACAAACAGGTAAAAAGCAGGGTTTTTTTCTTTACATTGTTTGTGCTGTGTGAATGTCAGTTTCTGACACTATTGAACTTCCTTCAATCTGCTTAATGTTTGTCTTCTTCCTTTAACACTTCCACTTCTAGCAACTACATCTTGATGTTTCTTGATTTTATAGGATCCCTTTTATATCTTAACCAAAACATCAAGGGTGCCAGTTTTATCTTCGCTCAGTAAGTCAAAGCAGCATCTGTTTTAGTTTTTTCTTTAAGAGGAAGTTATTTTGTTGACTAGAAAATAGACATTGGGTTCCCAACTTTTGTTTTTGGATGTTTTTCTGAGTTACCAACAGAAGATAGGGTTCTAGAACCTCAAATGCTGATTACTTGCAACCTGATGTTTAGGAATATGTTGTAGGAATAGTTTCTGAGCAGGTTAAAATTGGTGAGGTAGTTTATGCTTTGGTCCCATCATAAAATGTGCACTGGGGTTACCCATAAAAAATATCAAAAAATTGCAGTTGGTGCCAGCAAAATTTAAGAATATAAAATCTGTTCTGAAGAATCTGTACTGGTCACACTGATTATAATGTTGACATTGATTTTACACCCCTCATCGATCTTTTTGATTGACAGCTTAGTTTCCATTAAAAACTTGTCTAGCAGAGAAAGAGATCCTTTTGAAGGCTGGCCTGCTGGAAGACCCATGCTTCTAGCATGCAATAAAAAACCTCCTGTCCTTTTCTCAAACTCTGGAACATGGGATCAGTTATGGAAATATCCCTTTTCCATGGGGCTAAACAAACACAACCACTCAGTCTTTTCAGGATCAAACCAAAATTTGTTCCTCCCAATCTGAACCCAGGCAGCCTCCAGACAGTGGGCCATTACATCAGCAGTTTCACCTAAGCAGCCCAGGATTGAAATATATAGTTGGATATCATCAACATACTAATGATACTGAACCTCACACTGATGGATGACTGCATCCAGAGGTTTCATGTAGTTGCACATCAGATCAGCAGCCTCATGCATAATGATATCGTGGGCAAAGGCATATTTATTACACACCAACCTAGCATTCAGAAGCTGTAGCCAGGGATACCAAGACACCATCAGTCTGGTCCCAATAGTGACTACTGAGGGCAAGTAATCAGGATTGTTATCAAACAGTGTTCCCGGTATCTCTAAGTGTGGCCCATCTTCTAGCTCTACCCTTCACTGTACCAATAATGCCTCATATAGATAGTCCTCAACTTACAACCCCAGTTGAGATCGGAATTTTGGTTTCTAAGCAAAGCAGTTCTTAAGTGAGTCACACCTACTTTTACTACCGTTTTGCCACAATTATTAATCAAATCACTACAGTTGTTTAGTGAATTGCGTTGTTAAGCGAATCCAGCTCCCCTCCCCCCCAATCAGGGTGGATTTGATTTAAATCAAAGTGATTTAAATCACGATTTAAATCACTAGTCAGTAAGGCTTGATTTAAATCTTAGTTTTCTACATAAAGACTAATTCTTGCTGGTATAACTTTAATATGCAAGTAGCTGAAGATTTTTAGAATAACAACTTTTCATATTAGTTTTTTTATCCCCAGTTTAATAGGTTAATCATTCATATTTGGACAACTTTTCTGTTGTACTTAGGAAGGAGAAAAATAATCATTACCTTAATAATAACAATTTAAATAGATTTATTCAACTGAAACAATAACATTACAGCATATGTTGTTTGCTTAAATAAACATCCATGTTTGTTAATTAATTTGGCTAAACAAAATATATATATTTTAAGAAACTTAGACTGTCAGCCCAGCCTACACATGAAAAACTTAAATACTGTCCTCTGTAGCTCACTCATCATCTTCATCTTCTTCTTTGTTCATAATCTGGAAAAGAAAAACAAGCTTTCCTGTTTTATCGGGTCCCAAACGATTTCTCAATTTAGAATGAATGAGTCCAAAGGAAGAGAATATTCTTTCAACACCTGCAGAAGAAGCTACTATTGTTAAAAGTGAAATCATTACTTGAACAGTCTCTAAATCCAAGTGCTTAAGTGACTTCCACCAGTTCACTGGTGTGACTTTCTTTAAAATATCTTCAGCAAACATATATTTCTTGAATGGTTCCCCTTAGCTTTGAAGTTTATTATAGTTGGCATTACAGATGGATGATTGCTGGATACCCATGTCATAGCTAACTCCTCTTCCTCAGCACTTAAGTTTTGACCCTGATACTGAATATTGACAATATTTGCCAAAAAATGAGTAGTACTGGAGACAGTTCTTGTCCCATTCGTTTTTTTAATGCTTGTAATTTAATTCTGTCCATGTGTAGTTCTGTTTTTAAGTGTTCACTCAGTTCCTTCCAAATTTCAACAGCATCAGCAATAAAACAGCTATTTTTCTGTATTTTGTTTAAAGCTTCAGAGATGGGTTTCAGGATGCTCAGCATATGTTCAACATTTCTCTTAAGCCCAATGTTGAGGATTTTGGCCGTGACAGTGCCATCTATTTTATCTCGATTTTCTTCACAAACAGTCATCAGAATAGGCCAGTTCTTGATATACAGCTCAAAACAGTCCCCCACAGAGTTCCATCTAACATCTTGTGGGAGCATTAGCTTGGTTCCACCCATCCTTTTCAGAGCTGCTGCAGCAAAATGATTGTTAGAGAAGTATTTAGCAATTTCAACAACATTAGTCTTTATTTCTGGAACACTTAAGTCTGGCTAAGAGGTGCAGCAAATGAGCATTGCAACCATATGTTATTAGCTTTGAATTCCCTTCCTGCTCTTCTAAATTTCTTCTCATCTTGGATACATTTGCAGCATTGTCTGTGACCAAACTGCGTATTAGACATTTGAATTTTTGTTCACATGTTATTTATAGCTTTTACTGCCACTTCTTGTAAGAATTCTGCTGTGTGCGCATTTCCTGACGTGTCAATTGTTTGTGCAAGGAAGACTTTCCCTTCTTCTGTTGTTATACAAGCACATACAATAGGATCATTGTGGACATTACTCCACCCATCAATACTTAGGTTAACAATTCTACCCTCCGGAGCTGTTGCACATTGCTCCATTTCTCTGTCATACACTTTATCCATCAGTTTCCCTGCAACATCTGCTCTGCTGGGTGGACTGTATCCTGGTCTCAGTGACTGAACCATATTAATGAAATGTGGGTTCTCAGTCAGACGGAAAGAAGACTTTGTTGCATAAACAAACTGGGCAATTTTTTCATCAATTAACTCTTTTTCTAAACTGCTAGTTTTTATCACAAATTTATCTATGGTGGTTCCAGGAGGGAAGGGTTTTTTCTTTCTTTTAGGTAATAGTGATATGTGGCTGTGGGTGTCTGATGATGATGATGATGCTAATGAAGCACTATCCTGGATGGATAACTCTGAAACTGTAGAACAGGAGGATGGTGATCTTGAAGGTGGATAGTTTCCAGAATCCATGAATTCCCCTAAACAAAAAAGTCAATGCTGTTATTTTATTGTTTATACAATTTCTGCTTATTGTACACAGCACTGCCCCAAAAGGAATATTTGCTTTTCTTCATAACCGTACCAAATGACAGTAACATGCAGTAATAATAAGAAATATAATTTTGCTCAAATATGACAGTTCAAGGCAGTCTTTAGAAATATGATTCAATAAAAATGTTTACCAACCTGAAGATCCTGCCTGTTCAAATGTGTTTCTTTGGTCATCTTCATCACAGCATTTCTCATGATGTTGCCTCATTCGGGCCACCAGGCCTTGCATTTCTTTGTTGCAGTGTTTGCAGTTTGCACGCTTGCCTGCCTTACCGATAGGTAAAGGAACTTCATTAAAATATTGCCAAGCTGGGTCTCTTTTACGACCTGCTGCCATTATAGGTTTTTTCCTCCAAGGAAAGAATGTGATAAACCTCAGGTCATACACACAAAAAGATCCAAAGACTTGTCTATCTGTGGCTGTGCAGTATTGTGCTCAGAAAGTTTCACTTTCATTTTGTACTGCTTGTCTGCTTGCCCCTTCCTCCTCTCACTTAGTTTCACTTTCTTCTTTTTTTTTTCTTTTTTTATTGAAAAAGTTTTACAAGTACAAATTTTCCCATTCCCCCCCCTTTCCCTCCCTAACCCTCCCTAGCCCTCCCCTCCTCCCATGACTTCCCCAAGGTGAAATCCAAATCCAAATCATATTATATCATCATACTTTACCGCACATCTATTCTACCCCCTGTGAACTATACATTTCTAGATGACATTGAACTATTCTATCCTCTGTATACTATACATTTCTACACACCATTCAACTAAAAGCTATCTGATACTTCCTAGTTTGATATTTATTCTGCACACAATCTATCCATTTCTTCCACTCCCATGCATAGGTCTCTTGAGTCCGGTCTTTTAAGTATGCTGATATCTTCGCCATTTCTGCAAAACTGGCCACCTTCAAAATCCATTCTTCAATAGTAGGCATAACATCCCTTTTCCAATATTGACCAATCAGTAACCTAGCTGCTGTCACCATATACAATATCAATTTTGTTTCACCCATTGAAAAGTCCTTAACTATGCCCAATAAAAACAATTGAGGAGAAAATTGGAGTTTTTTCTTCAAAACATTTTGCATAATCCACCAATTTTTTATCCAGAAAGCCTTCACTTTCTTGCAAGTCCACCATATATGATAATATGTAGCATCTTATGTAGCGGCTTAGGGCCGGGATACTTACGAGACCGCCTTCTGCCACCAATAGCCTCCCACCGGTCACTACGCTCGCACAAAGTGGGCCTCCTCAGGGTGCCGTCTGCCAGACAATGTCGGCTGGCGACCCCCAGGGGGAGAGCCTTCTCTGTGATGGCGCCCACCCTCTGGAACAACCTTCCCCCAGAGTTACGTACAATAACAGACCTCCGGATTTTTTGTCGGGCCCTGAAAACCTATTTATTTCAACTAGCTGGGCTGGCTTGAGTTAAATTTTAAATTGATTTTAAATTGGGTTGTTTTAATTTACAGCCAAAAT